TCATACTCTGAGTCAAGCACACACTCTTTGCACAGTTGGAAAACACCTATTCCTAGATGAATACATCCATTTTGTGTCCTATCAAAAAAGGACACGGAATTTGGCAACATTTGAACCATGCTGATAATTTCCATCATCTCCCAGAATTTGCAACAACTGGGAATTCAGACCTGCTGAATAAGGAAGAACAAAAAATGTGCTGCAAATAAACACCATCCCTCCTTTGGCCTTTGTAAGCCGCGTCCATTCCTGCAGGCTGACTCAGCCCAGCAGCCTTCTGTGCCTTGCAGGCTCACAAAGAAAGTCTACCATCTCTCTCTTGTGGATTCTCCGAGAGAAAAAAAAATAAATCTTTTCCATGACACTGTGCTGCACGCTGAAGTTTCCACTATGTACCGGTGTCTGGCTGGGATGGAGTTCGCTTTCTTTTTAACAACAGGTAAGGTGCTGTGTTTCAGATTTGTGACTGAACAGTGTTGGTGATGTACCGATGTAGTCAGGGTTGCTGAGCAGTGCTTGCACAACGTCACGGTCTTCTCTGTTGCCCACGCTACTCCCCCAGCAGGTAGGCTAGTGGTGGGCAAGAAGCTGGGAGGGGACACCGCTGGGAAAGCTGACCCCAGCTCACCGATATTCCACACCATATAATGTCCTGCTCGGCAATAAAAGCTGGGAAGAGGAAGAAGGGGGTGGGGGTTTTATCTTCCAGGCTAGCCGTCGCTCAGCTGGGCACCAGTCTTGCTTGGGGGAGATGGTGAGCAGTCTTTGCACCGCTTGGGGCTTTTTCTCTTTCTTTCCTTCAGTTATTAATCTGCTTTTATCTCAGCCCTCAAGTTTGCTCGCTTTTGCTTTTCTTCTTCTCCCCCCTGTCCTGTTGGGGCAGGGGGATCGGGTGGCTGTGAGGGTACTCAGCTGCTGGCTGGGGTCACAAGGCAACAGCTCTGAGGGGAGGGCAACCTCCTGCTTGCCGATGGGTCCACCTGACTTGAAGTGCAGCAGTTGCAAGGATGCAAGAGCACATGCAACAAGCTAGAAACCAAGCAAGCAGGAACGAGCCATCGCAGGCTTGGGCAAAAGGAAGAAAACCATCAGACAAAGCTGTTGGTCAACTATGCACGGAGTGCTTCAAAGTTGACTGCGTTCACAAAGTTAACTTCCTTTGACTATTTCTGTCCCAAAACACAGACAAACCCGTGCACCCGCTCCCCCAGCCTTTCTATTCTGCTGTGCAGAGAGCACAGAGCGCTTCACATGCCGCCCCCCGCCCACCCTCCCCCCCCGGGCAGCAGAGCGGCCACTGCGCACTGCGGCTCCCTGCAGAGCAGCAGCAGCCTGGCCGTGGCCCAGCTCTTCACGAAGACCCGATGACGCTGCCGCCTCGCCCCCCCTTTGCAGGTGTCAGCCAGGCAAACCCTGTTCATCAGACGGGCAGGACAGCCCTGCCTCCTCTGCCGAGGACACCTCTGCGGCAACCCTTCTGCCAAAGCACGGACATGCCACTGCTGTGCCCCTGCAGCCGCTCTCACGTACTCCCCTGGGCCAGGCAGAGATCTGTCCCTCCAGATCCAGTTCTTCATCATCAGCCTTAAGTGTATATTTACTTATTATCTGTGGTTTTTTTTGGCCTTCACTCCCTTGAAGTTCCTACCTGTAACACAAACACGTTGGGGATCTTCTTCTACCCCAGGACTGTCTCCCAGGTGGAAGATGTAGGTTTCCTTGCTCTAAACAGCCTTCTTGGCAGTGGGGTGGACAGAGCCCAGACCGTGGTACCTAAGGCCACTCCATGGTCCTCCGTGGCTTCATGTTTTGGATCTTGCAGCTGCTTCAGCCGTGGCATGGACCAAGGTTTTCAGAGGATCCCCCTCCTTGCTGAAGAGCATGTCAGAAACCAGGCAGAACACAGCAAGAAGGAACCAGCTGTTGCTTGTTCCAAGCTGTAAATGGCAACAAACCAAGGTGGGCAAAACGTTGTTGCCATGTTTGCTACTACGGAATAGGCAAGTGAGAGAGGAAAAGGGACTGGGAAAAGGAATAGAGAAACAAGAGTTTGTTTTTTGCAAGAAACACGAATTATTTCAGAAAAACCTCCCTGTTGATATGGAATCGCATTCAGGAACCTCCTGCCACACAAACGGAGCCCTGCTTTTGTCCAGGGCTATTGCTGCTGATGCTGGTAGCTCCAGGAATCTGGAGCCATAAATAAGGCATTTCCTTCTCCGACCACTTGCGATCCAATGCAGGGAAACGTTCACCACAGAGCAGCTACGGATTTGTGGTGGCTACGTTCCCGCTGAGTTCAGGGAGGGGATGTACTGGTGCTAGGGCTGGTGATGTTGTCATATTAACAAAGCATCTTCTTCCTGTGGACAGGGCTTCTCTACTCAGCCTCCAACAACCCTCAAGGTCGTCTTGGCCTCCGGTAGCATTAAACTCAATACTAATAAAAGCCTGGGGACTGGCTCAATCCATCACACTAATCAAAGGCCTGTTCTGCCCTCTGTAGCCTGTTCTCCACAGCTAACGAATTTACACAAATGTGTTTGTGTCTTCCCCCTCCTCCCTTGCCTCTTTCTCTCAGTTTTGAAACTCAATTACAATCTTATCTGACAGAAGTGAAAGTTTTTTCAAATAAATTACATTTCTAAAAGTTCCCCGAAAAAACAGATGACCGAGAGACGTTCATAAATGCCCAGAGGGCGGTGAGCTCACTGGCTCCCAAACCTGCCAGCGTCTATGTGGGTTAAGTAAAAGCTGCAAACATCCTAGACACAAGAGGACTGCCAGATCATGATTTCCCCACACAGCAAAAAATCTAACCTAGAGATACACATGAGGCTTCTCTAGACCATACATTTATGGAACTACTTACAATAAATTAGGTCGGCAAGCCTCACTGTAGCTTGTCTGTAGGTCAGCAATGTGGTTTACAAAGCTTCTGAACAGCCTACATATAGAAATAAAGCAAAAGAACCTCATGTTTAATAACAGAATCACACAGAATCACAGAATGTTCGGGGTTGGAAGGGACCTCTGGGGGTCATCTAGTCCAACCCCCTGCCAAAGCAGATAACGACAACAAAAAAACCCAACTGCAGACCTCACACTGTGGTAACTTCCAGCAGCAAGAGTGGTCCTCCTTGTGAGGTTCGAGGAATCCACAGCCGTGGATGCCTTGCACACCTCTCCTTCTAGGAGGCCGATCCCCCTCACCAGCACCGAGCCGGCCATTCTGCCACAGGCCTCTGCCACACTGCGTATTCCCTGCTAAGAGTGGAGGACTTGCACCTAACGCCAGCTGAGCTGCCTGGTCGTGCAGGTCACTGTGACTGAACAGGCACCTCAGGCCCGCTCAGGTCAGTTTTACCTTGTCTGCCTGACCACATGACAGCAGAAAATCCCAGTTCTCAAATTTCCTGAAAAAAATCAAAAAATTACAGTATGTTGTGTTCAGGCATGGAAATGAGAACACGGCTCGGCTTCATCTACTCCCGAGTCCTAGGTTTCCAAGGTTTCAGAGCTGTATTCCGCCGCTCTCCATCAAAAGTGGCTCTGCTGGAGAGGCAGCAGCTGCTTCTCACCTGGGGTTCCCTGCAAACTTGATACCTTCTTCCTCCTTCTGAGACGCGTAACCCCAGGTGGGAACAGAGAGCACCAACACGCAGACCCTCCTCTGCCTTCTCCAAGACTCACTTCAGAGCAGACCAAACTTGAAATTAGCCCAGACTTTCAGCCTGAAGCACCAGCAGGCTCTAACACCCATGATTTATGCCTTTCGAATCAGCTAGCGCCGGCTTCGAACACAAAAGGCAACAGCTGCCTCAGCTGCTGTTTCTGGAAGACGCTGTTTAGAAAGAACAGGGGGACCGAACCAGGAACCTCTGAAACAAAAGCCAGAAACAGCAGAAGTGACGTAGCGATCAACACAGTCTGTCACTCACTGCCACGCACTCGCAGATGGGCTGTGTCGGTACCAGCCATTTGCCCTCTCTCCAATTTGCTCCTTTTACGCAGAAGGTCAGGCTGCAAAGTAACCTAAAAAGCTTTTAAATTCGTACTTGCAGTATCCAAACGTTCAGACTACGTGAGGGATTTATTTTTTTTTTGAAAAATGCACTTTTTGCTCTAGTCTCCAGAAGCATGCTTGTTCCAGTACAGTTTACGCATTTTGCACCAAACTCACTGAATTAAATGAAAAACAGCTCTCGAAGCAACAGGTGGTCCCCACAGCTCCCATTTATTCTCAACTCCTGCTTTAAAAGCTGGACTAGGGTTGCGCCCTTGTGCACCACCTCTCCGTAGATGCTCTGGCAGCCAGCGGCACAATTTGCATGAGGAGTAAAATATAAGGAGAAAGAGCGCCTTCCCCAAATCTAGTCTAGAGCTGAAGGGTTGAAAACGCCGTGCTGGGCGCTGATTAACAGTTCTCACCACAGAACTATTAAAGCCGTGGGCACCACTGTCACACAGATCCGGCTCCGGTTCTGAGTACAGGGAGAGGCTGTGCTTTGTGGGTGTATCAGCAATGACAGGTTACAGGCACACTTGGAGCACGTGCACCGCGGTGTTCTTTTCAGGCAGCTTTAACACAGAACAAACGCCCAGACGAAGTACCTAGAAAAGGCCTCAAACCAAAAGCAGACCGCGAGCTGCTCAGCTGCAAAAAGACAGAGGAAAGGTGCAAGACCTAAATTCCACCTCCAAGTCCAGACAGGGAAACGCTCCCTGGCTCCCCAGCTTAGCTGCACGGCAGATTCCCACCGGGAGAAAACCTGTGTATGTAAGCAGGGAAGGAGCTGGTCTGGGTTAAAAGGATCCCTGCAGACCCCATCCTGACAGGGCATGGGATGAGCACGGCAGCCCCACCACTGCTGGAGCCGCAGGGGTCGCCACCAGGCTGACCGGACCTGAGGATACTTGAAAGCTAATGAAACACCAAGTTTTAATGAGATAAAGTCAAGCCACTTTGCTTGATGAGATACAGGATTTTCATTTTTGAGTGTCACTAAGCCAAAACACCTTTTGAAAACTCTCTGCCAATCTCTCCTTCTAGGTATCCAGTCTTAGGTATTAAAAATAAAGAGGAGCTATTAAAAATAAGGGGAATTGGACTTTTCAGTTTGTTTGGTTGTTTTTTTTTAAGATGACAGGCACAGTTATCAAAGTTGGAAGCATTTACTGGCAATTCAGTAACTGCTTAAAATAGAAACATCTCCTTCATCTGGGAGGCTGAAGTTAGACTCCATGACTTAAAGAAAATCTTACACTCCTGCATCACTACCGACTACCTGAACTGGAATAAATCCTAATGTTTTTGTCCAATCTATTTCAGCAGTCATCCTGCAGCACTTCCCACATATCTGTTAAGAGACAAACAATGAAAAGACCAATGTTAGTAACTCTGAGCCAATTATTTACAGACTGTTACTTTCTGACTAATATACAATAAATGCACAGATGTGTAATGCCAGAGAAGCGCCCACAGCGAAACCCTGAAACTAGTAAATAGAAGTTTCAGTATTTTATTAAAATAGCATATTCAACCACTGTAACCAATAATACATTAACTTTATTCCCAGAGTACGCACAACACAGTAGTGATTCAAAATATCCTTATCCATGGTAATCAATGAAAATATCTCAAATTCAAGTGTACAACTAAAACTAAACCTTTGAAAAAATCTCTCCTTTAAAGAATACATAAAGCTCTCACACAGAAATCTTTTAAACTCCTTTATACTTAGCTGTCAGTGTCTCTCACCTGACAATACCACTAGCTTTTTTCTTATGCATAGTAGAACATCTCATATTTTATAGTACCCATTTTATAAATAAATTGGCATTTTCCATCCCGTTTGTGTTTATCGTCAGCTTCACAAAGAAACCAGTAAATAAAACTGTCAAGGACAGTCACAACAAAATGATCTCACAGCAAGATATAAAACTTGAAGATACTAAAAGATGCTTCTACTCTATTTTACATAAAAAGACAGATTTAAAAAGTGCAAGGCAAGATTTGCAGGGGAAGGGGAATATTTGTTTGTTATTTTTAGGCACATCCACTTCTTTAAAGCAAGCTTCAGAATGAAATTCCAGTTTCTTCTTCATGACACCTGTTTCAAAGTCTCTCTCAAAAAAAACAAGAAGAAAAAAAAATTACATCCGTCAAATGTCAAGCAGGGAATTTCCTGTCCAACTAATACTCTTCAGTTATGTCTTGTTCTTCCTTTTTTCATCCTTGCGGGTTTTGGTTTGGGAATATACTGATTGTTCGCCTGATACTCAAGTTCTTTACGGAAGTAATGAATTGCTTTGTTCAAACCTTCTTCCAGAGGGACCTGTTCCCAAAAGTGAGGAGAGAATCACATCACTCTATGTTTACATCAGCTCTTTTCATAACGGTATCTTTTTTACTACAGCAATCAAAAGACTGCTAGGAAGTCTCACTCTCAGCCAATGTAAGTATTAACAGCACCACACACTGGTTACCTCTCTGCACTGCTAACACATGTTCGCTTTTAAACATCAGATATATTTTCTGACATAGTGAGTCAAAAAAACCAACAAATTTAAGCTTCGTCAGATGGTTATGATTGGTCTGTTTAGTGTCAAAACAGACTTACATAATTCTACTTTCAATTCATGGTACACTGAAAGAGATAAGCACACAGAAATTTAAGTTCCTTCTGGTTTTAATGATTGAAGATCCTCTTTCATAGAATCTTACAGAATGGTATACACTGCAGAAAGGTATAAAGGTAGTGGGTTTTGTTTTTTTAGTTTGAAGTTCTTCAGTGCTCCACTGATATAAAGAAAAAGGGACACAAACTACCATCCAGTATCTCATTTGATATTCTTAAATCCTACACAAGTAACCGCAATTCTTTATATTCTATGCCTGTATTTAAACACTACGATTTGTAGACAGGAACAACAGAAATACTATCCACTTTTCTCAGGAGCCACAGGCTCCACCACACTTGCTGGTAACATCATCAACACAGGAGGATAAAATAGCAGGACAAAACCTACTTGCCTTGATGTACCAACACTGTAGTGCTATTTCAGAGTAAGTTTTGGTCCTGACCATGCCAAACACAGAAGGTCAGAAGTACAAAAGTTAACTGCTTTACACCTTTTATGGTTGCAACACTTGCCATTGTCCTTGTGCTTTCAGGCTGTTGTGGTTTTGGTTATAACAGAACTGATAGTCTGTTAATATCTGGTGCCTCTGTGAATCCTTTCAGCAGGGTCTGGAGCTGCCTTTTTCTATTAATAGGCTTACATTTACTAGATAGCTTCTCATATTTCCTGGAAAGACTTTTGTCTGCAAATCTAAAAAACCTACAAACCACTGTGCTAGCTAGAATGAGGAGCTGGCTCAGAAAGTCACACCCTTCCTGGGGATGAAGGAGACCTTACCTCCCCAAACCAACCAGCTCTTATCATCAGCGATGCCTGGTTATACACTTGCACAGTTAACTTCAACAAAAAGCCCAAGAACAGGAAAACCAGCAACCACGGGCATTTGGCATTTCTTGTGTATTAGCCGTACAGAAGAACCACAATCTTGACATCATCACTTCAGAGGGCTGGTAACTAAGCTTTAGAGGTGGACAGACATTAATATGTGTGGTGAAATGCTGGACTAAGCCTGAGCACATCCACGATCTTATCAACACACAGAACAAACCCTGAATATCTCTACATATGACACCTGTAGTCCAAAACCAGGGCTTCTCATTCTGGTTTACTTCAGTCCACCAGAATAAAAAAAACCCCAAACAAACGTGTCATCTCTCCCTGGCTAGCTTCTGTTTCGCCTACGTTTAACATATTTCCCTTTAAACAAATTCTATAACCCAGAACACTTTTCTGGTGCTCATATTTCCCCCTATTAATCCGAACAAACTTTTTGGTTACAACGATGTTACGGACCATCTTAAAAACAGGCTTGCTCCAAAGATTTTCTAAAAATCCTTTAATTAAAGCAATTTTTTTCTTCCACAATGCATGTTACCATGGCAAAACAGGAATGAGGATTGCAGCAACAGCAAACTCATTAGTTCCCGTAACTATGTACCATGTATTTCAAAGTATTCATCAGGCTTACAGAAAGGTAGACACTTCATAACATTCATGTGAAAAAGTTAAAATGCCTATCCTAAAAATGTTTTTTTTCTACTTAAGTCTAGTACAAATGCTAACGCTAATCTGCTCTTCTGCACGGCACAGGCCATACAATCTTACCCAGCAGTTCTCGGATCGTGAGCTAGGGCAACATGCGAGAGACAGCCTTGTAAACAACTGTCCTGGAGACTGTGTTAAGCAGATATTCTGATAACTGAAAGGCATCGGTATTGTGTGGTCCTCCCCCACCCCCTCTGCCTCTCTGTGGTTTTGCACACAACAACAGTAATACAGCTGTACGTACCACAGGTTCCCAGCCAAGCAATAACTTGGCTTTTCTGATGTCAGGTTTTCGTTTCTGGGGGTCATCCTGTGCTTCTGAGAGAAACTGGATTTCACTCCCACTGCCTATTGAACAAAGAGACTGTGCATTATCACACACAATTCACTATGCTTTTTGTTTATATCTTTCCTAACTATTAGAGCATCAGGTCTTTCTGCAGCTTTCCACTTCATAATTCTACCATTGAAATGCTTTCCACCGACACAGCTGCACTGCATGCAACAGCTGGGTGAACCAGCTGTCCCACAGCAACACGCATTCACAAAGCTTTCAGCATGGATTCACAAAAGGAAGTTATGCTTGACCAGCCTAATAACCTTCTATGATGAAACAACTGCCTCGGTAGTCATCTAGTGGAGATCATCTACCTTGACTTCAGTGAGGCTATAACATCCTTATTGAACTCTGGATGAGCAGACAACGAGGTGGATTGAAAACCGGCAGCATGGCCGGCCCAGAGGGTGATGATCAGTGACACAAACTCTAGTTGGAGGCTGGTAACTAGTGGTGTACACCAGGGGTCAATATTGGGTCAATACTGAGTTGCCGATACACTGCCATCCAGAATGACCTCAAGAAAGGAGGTTGGAGAAAAGCACTGACAACAACCTCATGAAGTTCATCAAGCAGACATACAAAGATCTGCACCTGGGGAGGAACAATCCCAAGGCACCAGTACACACTGGGGGCCAAAGCAGCTTGGCAGGAGAGGACCTGGGGGTCCCAGTGGACACCAAGCTCAGTATGAGCCAGCCATGTGCCCTTGCCACAAAGGAGGCAAATGGTAACCTGAGCTGCACTAGGATGAGTGCTGCCAGCAGGTCGAGGGAGATGATCTTCCCCCTCTGCTCGGCACCGGTGAGATACATTGGAGGGCTGGGTCCAGTTTTCGGTCCCCTAGCACCAGAGAGACATGGACATACTGGAGAAAGTACAATGAACAGCTACTAAGATGATGAAGGGACTGGAGCATCTCACCTATGAGGACAGACCAAGAGAGCTGGGACTGTTCAGCCCGGAGAAGAGAAGGCTCAGGGGGATCATATTCATGGGTATAAATACTTGATGGGGGGGAGCAAAGCAGAGGGAGACAGGCTTTTTTCAGTGGTGCCCAGTGACAGAACCAGAGGCAATGAGCACAAACTGAAACACACGAGGTTCTCTGTGAACATCAGGAAATGCTATTTTACTGTGAGGGTGACCCAGCACTGGCACAGGTTGCTCAGTGAGACTGTGGAGTCTCCATCCTTGGATATTCAAAAGCCGTCTGGACATGGTCCTGGGCCACAGCCGGCTGTAGGTGGCCCTGCCTGCGCAGAAGGGTTGGACCAGACGACCTCCAGAAGTGCCTGCCAACCTCAACCATTCTGTGATTCTGTTAGCACTTCTGCATTGTAAAAGGACTTCACCTCCTCTTTGCTCATATTCTCCAGTCTGCTTTAAACAGCCAACGTAACACTTGCCTTTCCTCATGACAATACACAGAAACAGGACACAATTTCTCTAACCCAATGTAGCAAATAGTTTACACGCCATGTTACTGTGGGATTTTATGGATGTAGAAGTAAACCACCCCTCCAGGTGGACTGAAACAGATGAAGTTGTTTGTGAACAAACAGACAAATGGAGGTAACAATTATTCTATGTGCCTGATGGGTTTGGTGCCGTGATTTTCAATTTCCTTCCCTGATCTGTGGATTCATAGCCGTTTCCCAGAGGTGATGGTCCTCTACTAGAAACATCACATGCATCAGCTTCTGCACCGTATGTTTGGACTTGTCTTGTTCAGATCCCCCAGAAGCACTGCTGGAATCTACAGACTAATGGCACCAGTATGTTTCGTCTTGTTAGGAAGCTGCACTAGAAGACTAAGCACAGCCCTTCACTTCCATTCTTGAGAGCTCTGATTTGCTACAGGTATCAGAGCAAGTATGAGGAGAAAGCCACAGTGTTTTCTTCCCAGCCACACACAAGGGAGGTGCTGACAGCCCTTGCAAGAGTCACCGGTAGATCACTGAAAAGGAGAGAAAGACTGTCACCACAGCACGAGGTTTTTAATTTCAGCTGAAGGAGAGCAGTCTGCATAACTGTGGAGAATTACCTTGCTGAAGTATCCGTAATTCAGCTAAGATGTTATGCAAGGCATTTTCATTGACGAGTTTTACATTTAATTTATGTAAGGCTGGCCCTCATGAATCCCAGGCCCTGGAGGTAAGAAAGGAAGCCTACAGAGAGGATGACTTTCCCTTGGTCGAGGAGGACTGTGCAAGAGATCGCTTAAGCAATCTAGACACCCACAAATCCATGGGCCCCGATGGAATGCACCCACGAGTGCTGAGGGAGCTGGCAGATGTCATTGCTGAGCCACTCTCCATCATCTCTGAGAGGTCCTGGAGGACAGGAGAGGTGCCCGAGGGCTGGAGAAAGGCCAATGTCACTCCAATCTTCAAAAAGGGCAAGAAGGAGGACCCAGGGAACTACAGGCCGGTCAGCCTCACCTCCATCCCGGGAAAGGTGATGGAGCAGCTTATCCTGGAGGCCATCATGAAGCAAGTGGAAGAAAAGAAGGTTATCAGGAGTAGTCAGCATGGATTCACCAAGGGGAAATCATGCCTGACCAATCTGATAGCTTTCTACGATGACATGACTGGCTGGGTAGACGAAGGGAGAGCCGTGGATGTTATCTACCTTGACTTCAGCAAGGCTTTCGACACAGTCTCCCATGATATCCTCCTGGGGAAGCTGAGGAAGTGTGGGCTGGATGAGTGGTCGGTGAAGTGGATAGAGAACTGGCTGAATGGCAGAACTCAGAGGGTTGTCATCAGCGGCGCTGAGTCTAGTTGGAGGCTGGTGACAAGTGGTGTCCCTCAGGGGTCAGTACTGGGCCCAGTCTTGTTTAACTTCTTCATCAACGACCTGGATGAAGAGTTAGAATGTACCCTCAGCAAGTTTGCTGACGACACCAAACTGGGAGGTGTGGTAGATACACCAGAAGGCTGTGCTGCCATTCAGCGTGACCTGGATAGGCTGGAAAGCTGGGCAGAGAGGAACCTGATGAGGTTCAACAAGGGCAAGTGCAGGGTCCTGCACCTGGGGAGGAACAACCTCATGCACCAGTACAGGCTTGGGGTGGACCTGCTGGAGAGCAGAGAGGGACCTGGGTGTCCTGGTGGACGACAGGTTAACCATGAGCCAGCAGTGTGCCCTGGCTGCCAAGAAGGCCAATGGGATCCTGGGGTGCATCAAGAAGAGTGTGGCCAGCAGGACAAGGGAGGTTCTCCTTCCCCTCTACACTACCCTGGTGAGGCCTCATCTGGAGTACTGTGTCCAGTTCTGGGCTCCCCAGTTCAAGAAGGATGAAGAGCTACTGGAGAGAGTCCAGCGGAGGGCTACAAGGATGGTGAGGGGACTGGAGCATCTCCACTACGAGGAGAGGTTGAGGGAACTGGGCTTGTTCAGCCTGAAGAAGAGAAGGCTGCGAGGGGACCTTATAAATGCCTACAAATATCTGAAGGGTGGGTGTCAGGAGGATGGGGCCAAGCTCTTTGCAGCCTGCCGTAGGTGACCCTGCTTCGGCAGGAGGGTTGGACTAGATGACCCACAGAGGTCTCTTCCAACCCCTAACATTCTGTGATTCTGTATTGTCCTTGTGCCAAAACAAAGCAAAAAAATGCAAAAACAATATTCAAAATAATGGGTACAGATTGCACAGATAGAACGTGTTCATTCTACTCTTCATGCAGTACTTTACATACAATTGTCAGGATTTGGATTATCTTATTAATATTTAATCATTTGATCAGGACATAATTAAATGTCTCTGATAAAAGTTATTAATAATCCAAAACCCAATTAAATTATCCATACACTACACACACTAATCAAGTAATAATCATCTAACAACAATAAGTACTTCATAAGCTTTACTAAGAATTTAGTACTCACCAACAAGTTTTTTAATTAACTGGGCAAATTCTAGGATAGTGTGCTCTTCTGGGTTTCCCTAGAAATAGAAGGGATATTCATTACAATATCAATTAAACACCTTAAGACATGTTAGCTTTCTGACATGAGACAATTCTAAGAGGGTCACGTTAAACTCTGAAAAAGCTGAGCATTATGCCTTATTCCTACTTTGGTTAAAAAAATGTAACTTTGACAGGCTCCACAGTCATTAGAAAAGTTGCCCACCATTACATTTGCCTTGGTAATTCAGTGTATGTAGGGGGGTGTTCAGAGAAATTGGTCTGTAAAGAACGGGCAAATGCACCTCAGCCACAGTAAAGGTGTATGCTGCTCGGCAGCCCAAACAGCCACATCATCAGTTTGAAAACTGGATTCAACGACTTTGCTGAGTTGAGGACAGGATGATATGAAGCAGTATGCTGAATTCTCAGTTCATCCAAGTTAGGAAATCAAACTAATTTAGCTGCAAACAACTGCTTCCTACAGCTTACCTACCAATATGTGTAAGGGCTACTTGCTTTCCTATACAATATTCCTTCTCTTAACTCTCTTTTTAACCAACTTGCATGTGAACTCCTGATCAACATTTCAGAACAAAATGCTGAAAGCTTCCTGTCAGCAATAACTCACCTCCATCAGACTCAATTTCCTCCATCCCCAGCTTTCCCTGTTGCAAAACTCGTCTTACTACATCGTTTCACCAAAAGCTGAACGTTTAGGTACATATATATTTAAAAATCAAGTTTTCTGGAGACAAAATATGTGATGAGGTTTAAAAGTATCAGTATTTGGATTGAAACATACAACTGAATTTATGGCCATAGTAAAAAAGGCAAATATAGTAAACAAGTTCCCTACAGAGTCGAATACCTGATTTAGCAAAAGTTGGCATATGCAGAAATGACCTGGCATATGCATCCTTTTTTATTTTAATTTCCACTGCTGAGAATAAGGCAACAACAAATGGGACGGAACAAAAATCCTAGTAGAAAACTCAAGTTCAATCAGCCTTAATCAATATTAGAAAATTACAGAATCAAATACTATCCCATTTTCCTCTAATCAAGGCTAGTATGAAGTGATATCTAATTATTTAGAGCGAAGTATTCCTTCGGTGTTTTTTTTCATTAAAACCAGACTTCAATCACTTCCTTGTGATTGGTGTATTTTGCATGTCCTTCCCGTGCTCATATTTAAATCTTTTATTTTCATACTCTAATTACAAAAATCTTTTTGCTAAAACAAATGAAAGATTCTAGAAAATTTATCTGTTTTTGGAACTACAAGATCTCAAAAATTAGGGACTTCATCTTCTTATTTATAAAGAGACTACATTATTCATAACGGAAAGAGGTTTTTTGCTCCATGTATTTCTTCTACAAATCAACATCAGTGATGAGGAGGAAAACACAGGTGATGTTGGTCACTGCACAGTAAACACAGTAGAGCAGAGCTCTCATACTCACCAAGTTGACAGGACTGCTGACATTGCTGTTCATCAACGCCACCAACCCATTCACAAGATCACTGTAAAAAGGGAAGAACAGATTGACGCAATTACCACTTCCCTATAAATAATATTTTTGTCTAAAAAGAGAGCTGCCTCCTCAGAGCTCCAGTAAAGCAGATCAGGCAGCTGAGGAGTGCTGAAATCAGATTTACAGTGTGTACTTCAATGAGTGCATGTTTCCTTGGCTGTTTGTTCCAGAGTCCCTATTATACGACACACTGAACTGCAGGTTAATTTGAAAGGGTGATTATCTTTGGGATACACTGGCTAGAGCTCATTTGAGCGTATGAAAGAATACAAAAAAATATCAATTTACTAAAAACCAGTTAATACTTCCTTTTCCCTCCAGTGTCAAAGCATTTTTAGAGGCTTATTTTCAATGTATTTCAAACAGAATAGAGTTAAGTTGTAAGACAGTTTGTTGCTTGAATTGTCTTCTCACTTTCAGAAATTCTTAAACCCAGTTTGTTAAAAAACAGTATTTTGGTGGCAAAATAACCCAAAGTTATTTTAGATCATCAGAAACAAACCTAGCAGCTGGCCCCCAAACATATAAATCCAGATCTCTTTCATTATGACTTATAACCAGGAAAGGATCAAGGCTACTTTGAACTGATGGGGTTTCCGTAGCATCTATTGCTGCTGTTACTGCTTTCAGCAGAGGGAAAGAACATTTCCAAGCAGAGAGTGAGTAAAACAACCCAGAAGCCTGGCACGGAAGTTCAGCTCGCCTGACAGAACAAAAGATTCTGAACAACAATTCAGTTTTTCTTAGTGCAAGTACATTCTGGCCTTGCAAACATGAGGCATAGCGACAGCCCCTGATCGGTTCCTTCCTCGAGCAGGGGACCCACGCTGACGGTACCAAGCCCAGCGGCACAAGGTGGCAGCACTGCATTAAAATGCAAGGGCTGACAAACCGCTCAGCATTAAAACCTTATCTACCCGTTACTCGCCAGCCCTTGAAGGGAAGAACACTTTAATATCTCGACTCAAAGTTCTAAACCAACTAACGTTTTGTTTCTTGGTACTTTTAAAAACTTCGGTGTCTCCCTTCTGAAAGTAAAGCTGGCCTAAGAATGAACATAATTTCTTTGACTACAATGCGCATGCATACAAAGTTGGCCAAGCTCGAAGAACCATCAAATGAACTAAGTATCAGACAGTACAAACAAGGCTCACCTGACATACTGGAAAGCTCTTGTCTGAGTTCCAGGTCCATAGACCTAAAAACAGATGAAAATTAGAAAAGTTACACAAATACAAAAGTCCTCTCAAGCGCAAATGTCTTTTCCTCACCATGCTAGAAAAACGTCCCAAGGAGAAACACCCGAGACACAAGCTCAATGTTAGGGGAATGGAAAAACATGGACTTGCAGAGCCTTTGGCAAAGTAGCAGTTCTTTGAAGGTCTTCTTCCTCTTGGATGTGTCTCCAGTAAACATATCCCTATGCATTTTGTTAACCAGAACTCTGCATGTAGGAAACATTCTCAGGGATGTAGGACAGAGCGAGGCTTTGTCCGCTCCTGGTACACTGAGAGAGGCTGCAGCATGCATTCAGCCAGAAAAGAGTGTCAAATATTTAAAACAAACCTCAGACTACTAAGAAGTGATTATGACAAGCAATTTTTATCTGCTTATTAACAACAGCCAATTTCAAAGTGTTAGTGGTCTCTAGAAAAACTGTCCAGAAAAATAGCACTGTAAGCATTTAAAGCAATTGGGGCAAAAAGAAAAATATGTGGCTCTAAATATTACTACCTGTGAAAATGGGAGGTAGAATAATTTCTAGAGGATGACTCCTAAAGTCACCTGTACAGATTTGTATCAAAATCTTAAAAGGAAAAAAATCAAAAGTCTTTTGAGGTTATGCACTGGCACTTTGGAGCAAGCAAGTTGTTTTAAGTTCAAATAGGCATTAAAGTATACTTAAAGTGTACATAATGGTATTAGATACTATTATTATTTTCAGAGTTTAATTGTGTGCGGTACTAAAGTCCCTAGAACATGAATACTTAAATTCTGAAAGCTATCAGTAGGCACATTTAAGTGGCAAAAACACTTCAGTTTAACCGTGGATGCACACAACTTGCCATCAACCTGCTACAACAGAAAAGCTTTTTGGAAAGGCAGACTAGAAAGCACGTTTGTTTTCCTAAGGGACAGGAACGACGATACAGTTGGAATACAAGCCATCATCTGTCACTTGGTAAGCCTGCTGCTCTCTGAGGCCAATTCAGAACCAAAAGAGTTCACATTTCAACAGGCACTGGGTAAGATCAGGGGTTTCAGAGTTCACCCACTAACTGACTCTGAGAGGAATGCACCAGGAGAGCACACGACAGCCTGATGGGCTCCCAAAGCAAGCAGGAAGCAGAGTTTATGTATGTATTTAGAGCTCTGCTTGGCTTCTTTCAGCTTATGGGATAAACTTTACAGAGCGAAGCCATTTGTGTGTGATTTCTGCAAAGTCATCCATGTGGCTACCCTTTTCTACATGCAAGCAACAGCTGGAAAACACAATGTAGTTTCCTGCTCCCAGTTTCTCTCAATACCTCCCTATTTCTCTCAAAAAAACCTTCCTTTACAATAACATAAAGCCACAATGGTCATATTTGCATAGGCTATAATTTCTTCAAATTAAAGAGGCTGTTTTCTCAAGATATTTACTCCATTTGAACACCTACTTTGAATGCAGAGATTGAACACATTCAGTTTCTAAAATGGTCAACACTTGGTATTCCTGTCAGCCCAATTCTGTGATGATACAAGGGTGAATTTTTTTTTGGTCTCAACTACTGCTTAATGCTGATAATTCCTTTTATCTGACCTGGTCAGCTAAACAACTCTCCCCTTAGTTCTTTTCTCATATTCAGTAATTTTCAATGTCAGTTACTCCCTGCAGAACAGTGATGTTGGGCGAAAATGTTCTATTTTATCCTCTATTACATTCTTCATAAAGTCTACAGCATAGCAGTTACAAAAATAATAAAAACAAAGCTTTCAATATTCCGTCCCACAGAACAACACTGACTCCAGCATTCTCTTATTAATGCTCTGAAATATCCCATGGATTGTATGTTTTAAAACTAGATAATTGCTTCATATTTAGTAAGGCTTCACAAAAGTTCCATTTAGTGTTCTTCAACAAAACCTGAGAAACTAAGTATGAATTAAAAATAAAAAGTTTGAGAGGTCAAATATGGAAATAGCTCACTGCATGCACTGGGGAATAAACCTGAAAAACAGAAGTACTTTCTGACCCTCTGCAGGCTAGATAAGCTTTCTAAACAGCATTCAGAGGCTCAGACTCCACATCCCAGGACGCCATCCTGGGAACATACAATGCTCACAAACCCGTAGATGGTTACACTCATATTTCAATACAAGCAAGTCCTGCAAGGATCAAAAGTGTCAAAGCAAGAAGCTCCACCTTCTTGTCTGCTTCTATTTGCTTCGTGTCTTGCAGCAAACAGAACCAGCCTCACTCTGCAGCTTTGGGGAGATGTCTGGGGAAGAAAATTAAACTCTTCCTGCAGGAATTTGAGTGCTTCTCTGGTTTTGTTGCTTTGAAAGGAAAAAAAGTACTGAACCCACGCGGTTGTGCAATTAGCCTATTCAGTGCTGAAGAGACTCCTATCAGTAGCGACTGGGCAAGTTGGGCTCACTGGTTTTGTCAGCTAGCCAAGACTAAGCCCTGACACCTGCAGTCTTAATGCTGACTTATATGACAAATTCAATGTCATATGTCCTAGTAAACACTGGCCATTAAGTCACAGTCAGCGTCACACAATTGCTACCACACCCTGAGTGCTGACAGTACTTTGTACAAAAAATGTAAATCTCTGGGGAAAAAGCAAATCTTCAGGAGATGCAGTGAACACAGCATTCAAATTACTATAGGCTTACTACTCTGAAATAATAATCACAAGCCTAATCCAGAAATGTAGCAATGGTTAGGAACAACAGAGTGGCCAAGAGGCATCACTGGTGATACTGAAAAATAATAACAAATTGCCTAAGTTAACAATCACTGACAAACAGCAAGCAAATAAGCAAATGTTGACCTTCAGAGAAGACCAATCTTTCAAAAATCATCAGTGTACGTAAGTCAGGTGATGTACACTTCTTTGCAGAATATACACAATTCGAGCTTTTTTAATTTTATTTTTTTATAAAGACTTCTAGATTTCACCATGTCAGTAGGGTAGTGTCCACTACCCAAGTTTTGCAGGGGGTAGCCACATTTTGGCATATTATTTGAAAAAGATTAAAGTTAGGGGAGATTTATCACAGGACACCAAGCTTCATCTTGCCCGGGCATGACTTATTTCCTGGTCTATACTTTGGAACGCTCTATCCAGTTTCAAATTTTTCTCAACAAGAATCATGGTAGTGGGCCCTGCCACAAAACTTCCATTCTTTTTCTCCTTGGATTGTCTACTCCTTGGCTAGAGGAATTCCTGGCTGAACTCTGGATTTTACAGTCTCCAACAGAAGGAATGCTGCCTCAGTCTCAAGACAGCTGCCCCACGGAGGTACTTTGCAACATTTTTAGTTATTTAGCAGAAGCCATTGAGTGATTTCCTGGCATGTCACTCTTCTAATCTAGGCAGTATTAACAAATAAAAATTTCTGTTGTATGTCACATAAACTGTAAATGTTTCCATGAGCTCATTACTGGTCTCAGATTCCAGACTACTTCTCCCTGTTTCAGGATGCATCCGCATTTATTTTATAACAGTCAACTAAACAGGATCAGGGCATAGGTCAGGCACTACCCGTATTGGTAAATTACCAGCAATATCTTTGGCAGACTACTGGTCTGTGCCAGCTCTTGCTCTCCCACACAATGTTGTGATATTGCTTAAGCATTGTCAAGAGCCAAGGGCCATTCACAACACATAGTTTGGATGCGGCAACTTGTTTCGGCAGGAAAATTTGGCTGTATAGATGTGGGTCATGCCACACCAGTTTGTCAATGGTAACAAAACCCAGTCCTGGCTGGCTTTATTTACCAATACATGATGTAGCCTGTAGGCCTTTAACATTACGTTACACATGGAAAATTTAGGCTGATCTCCAGGCTTGTAAAAAGACGTTTAGATGCCTAACTTCCAAAAAGGATTCAGAGAAACTTCCTCAACAGGAGTAAGTACTAAAACATGATTCTGTAAGTCTTGTCACGCTGTATCCCCATAGAAGAGTTGTGACATACAGAGATTCAAGCTCAGGATGACTAAAATAATTTCTCAGATTGGAACCAGTAGCTTTGTTTCTCTCTGGGGGAACACCAATACCATCAACAGAGTATATCTTTGGATATATAATTCTACATATTCGAGCCTGATACACTGAAAGACTAGATTTTTAGAGCTGGGGAAGAAACCCAGTGTTTTCTAAAATCTTTCATAACACGTAAGCATAGGAATTAAAGATGAATTGTTCTTCACGTTACTCAGAGATCATCACTTACTGTCAGTGGTTCTCCCTGGAGAGCTTGTAGGATAAAATTACTGACAACTCTACCATCATTCATATGCATTCGAGGACCAAAGGTATTGAATATTCTGGCAACTCTCACTTCAACTCCTTCCTGTAGGCAAAGAAAAAAGAATTGTTACTACTTTAATAAGAATGTCTTTCTTCCTAGAAGTGCAAATTAACTCTTCCCTGTCCAAAAGCTTTCTTAAAAATCCCTCTTACAGCTTTAGCAAGCATTAGTTTTCTCACCATGAAATACTTCTAACCTCTCCTCAAAGCTAGTGGAAACCGTAGTGCATACAGCAAGGTAATTTATACTAGGTTCTTAGTATTTGTAACGCAAATTCTAAATCAGTGCTAGAACAGCTGGTGATTTCAGCACATGCATTTTCTTCCAACAAGAACTTTAAGACTTTTCACTACTAGCCTTACAACAGTAACTTATTTAATCTGGCACTTCTCTAGAATTTTTGCACATAAGTGAAGTCTCACAATCACCAGATACAGTACCAAGGTAGTGTTTCCAAAGATTAAAAAAGTTGAACACTTCACGTAAATATCTTTATGCATACTATGAAGTGGCTTTGTAACCACAGCTACAAGGTTTCTTAGCTCCCTGCTACTTATTAGGCTGTGTAAGTGCATGCTTTACAATCCAGGTCTCTTCAATAGCTTGGTTGTTTCCAAGAAACATTTCTATCATTCCCAGAAGTCCTTTCTGCAGGATATTTTGCAAATATTCAAAGCAAAATGCAACAAATATGTGAAACTGGAAACTGTCTGGAGAAAACATTTTAACACTGGGGGACTGCAGACTGAAGTAATCTCTCTCTAAATATTTCCTGTTTATTGACAACTCCTTTGGACAAGTCACAGTTCATGATAAAGCCTACAAGAAGGACGTTTGGCCTTTGTGAGCTGAAGTATGCACTTGGCTCCTGATGAGTTGAGAGCAGCGTGGTATGCTGTAAACAAACAGATGCTACCATGTGAGAGTGACAGCCACAAGGTAGAGAGGAAGGTGAACTTCAGCTCAGGCCTACGCATCCTCCTCACACTCCCTGGTCCTCCCCTCTCCCAGAAAAAGCCATCCTTGTATGAGTCACAGGAAACATTTCTTGTCTGAAGCAAACTTTGTGCTGCTGATTCAGCTGAAGCAACTGAAGTCACAAGCATGATGTTGTGGAGTTGCAAACATTCAGTCACTCCTGCAGAGTATTGTATTTCATGTGGGCTTTCCAGATATTGCCATTAATAACAAGTACAGAAAATGAGGCACTTGGAAGCTAGTACTCAGGATAAAAATAACTCATTAAACAATGCTGACCAAAAAGCCCCTCTTTTACTGCACAAGCGACAGCAGCAGTCTTGTTTTCCAGTATTGGCTGGAAACTAGCAAGGGATCTAGAAAAGAAAAACAACACATTCTCTACAGACACTTACTCATAGCCACAGTAAATCCAGTATTTCTTCTCCCTTCTATTTATTCCCCTCCCCTCACTGTAATATTGTCTTTTAAAATGAGGCACTTTTTATTTCTAGTGTCATCTAGCAAAGCTTATCTCTGCAGCCTACTGCTTTGAAAAATCTATTTTCTATGCAGGCACAAATGAATTTTCATTTGTGCCTGTAAAACTGGGATCTATCTTCTCACAAGAAACTCTTCCCCAGACAGGGATTTTGGAGCCAATAACTTCAAGAACATCCTAAGTTTCCTTTCACCATTTTGTGAATCTCTCCTTTGACGTGATTCTTTTTGCATGTTGAGTAATTCTACTCCTTTTTGTATTAACTGCCTATGAATACTTATGGTACACTGTTACCTACGTCCTGTTACTCTGAATATCAACAACATGTTAATTATGACTGACTACCTCCACTGTATCCCCACTAACAAAGCCAATTATTTCCCCACATTTGTGGCAGTTAGTCACGTACAGTATCTTATTCTATCCTAGAGAAAGGAGAAAAACCTCTTCAGCCCACATTTATACCGCCAAACAAAAGAGAGCTTGAGATTAATCCCTGACGCTGAGATCAAATGTGTTCAACTGGCTTCTGTCCTCATGGTTTTAGACTATGCCTTCCCACAGCAGACTAATCAGAGAGAAAGTTCCTTGAGCAACCCAAAAATGAGCCTGAGAGCAAGCTAATAAAATGCAGCATTGCGGGCTATCAAAACACTTCAGCTCACTCTATTATTTACCAGTATGGACATGTTCACAGAGACCGTGCCTGTACAGATGGAGACGGAAGACAGAAAAAATGCAAGAAAGACTGTTATGGCTTACAGAGACATCTCCTCTGAATAAATACTCAGAGGACTATTCTACAGCTGTCAGTCAAAAAGCAGCACTGATTACACAGTCTCCCCTGCAAAACAAGCTTGTCCATGGAGTTCAGCATGAGTCTTTGCCACTTAGTTCTAGAGATCCCTGCTCCAGAAAGTATCAAGGATGCTACGGTACTACCTTAATTTAAAACCACATACTTTAATTTTATAAGCTTTTTAAGAAAAGATATCTCCTTGTGTTGACTGTCTCAGAAAACAGATCAGTACAGAATACAAGTCAAATGTTAAGAGGCTCTTTTCACTGAAACAGCTTGAACATACACTGTGGCTGTAATTCATAAGCATATCAGGCAAGCCTGTCTTACTAATTAACAGTGCTTCCTTCTTTGTAAAGTCTGATGATCTATCTGAACGCAAGCATGAATTAGGCTTCTCTGCATACAAAATCAGGAAAGGGAAAGCTGCAATTGCCTGCTCTCCAGTAGACAACAGGATTCACCGACAACAAAAAAAAAAACAAAAAACAAAACCTGACAGTGAAAACCCAGACAGTTGCATGGATATCACTGTAATCTGATACAAGTCTTTATCAATGTTTCAACTAAAATTACTAAGATTGTTAGCTGCATAGTCACTTTCTTACCAATTCATACGCTTTCCCATGTGTTTCAAACATCATTAACTAACTCTCAAAATTATTCCCAAAACCCTGAACTACAGCAGAATTACTAGCACAGCATTCACCACGATCCGTGACATGTTTAAGCTACAATACTCTACACCAAGGCTTGGTCCAAGGTATTTTATGTACATGTACTGCCTATTGTATAAGGAAAATTAGACTAATTCCTGGTTACTAACAGCTTTTTAAAACTGTTTTGCAAAAATAGTGATGCTCAGATCTGAATTTCATAAACAGTAAAGCTCCTAAACAAGCTAGGAAGGACAATCACAATCATCTGACTCTACTTTCGGCATAAAGCAGGTCCTTGAACACAACCAAGGCACATCTCCAGTACTCTTATCTTACGGTTGAAATATTACCATGCTTATAGATCAACACTTCCCAGACTAGAGAAGCTAAAACTTCTCTTCGAGGTCTCTTTGCACCATTATTTATACCTCCCTGCTAAAAGTATGTGCTATTTCTAGCGCATCCCTCAGCTTGCATACATCTTGTATGTACTGCACATAGCCACTGCAAACAGCCTCAGGCCTGTTCCCCCAACACTTTGATAGGAGAAGTTGTCACCGGGACATGACAGGTACCCACTTCACTGCATCTATACTTGAATTACCAGGATTTCCCTTTCAGACAGGGATTTTAACTGCAGTAATTTATTGCACAACTCAGCTTCTGAACATGAGGTGGCAGATAACATCAGCAGTGCAATAATATCCAGCGAATGAGAGTTCTATCACAGATTCCAGTAAGTTTCCAATATGAATAAACGCAAACAAACATCAATATATACTCCAAACAACTTAATTTTAGTCACCTGCATCATGGAGAGTTCTGCAGAGTTATACTCATGAATCAGTGTAACAACGAAGGTGAAAGAAAATGCCTTACCAATGCTTTTAGAGCAACGGTGGCTGTATGAGGAGGACACAGAGCCAAAAATAAGAGCTATACCAAACTGAAAAGAATGTTAGAAACAACATCCACTTTGCATTAGAAGATGAATGCTGCTATGGATATATTCTCTTTCAAACTGAACTTATGGAAATGAATCAGTCTCCCAAAAAACTTTAAGTCTTCCTGACTTGAAAATTCAATTTGCACAACAGTGCAGCATTATCAAGAACCAAGCTCTCCAATTACCTGAGGGGAAACAGAATTCTTACAGCACAGCAAGGAAAGAAAAAAACCCTGGAACATAGAGACTAGGGAAAGCATTCAAATTTTTTGGGGGAAACTGTATTTGTTTAGTCCATGGCTTTGATTACCATTGCAATACAGACTTCTACCCCTTGTCTATGGTACAAAGTTATTATGCAGTTGTTGACAGCACAGAGCATGCAGAAAAAGTAAAGATACTACAGCATTATCAAAACCATTGCATCTGAATACAGGCCAGAAGACCTGACAGTTTTTTCCTGCTTTATTTTCATATAACTTGGAAAAAGCATTGCTCCACTGACCGAAAAAAGCCTCCTATTATACCCACGCTATGTTGGTATTACGAAGTTCTGGCAACTCAGATAAAACAATACAATTTAGAAACAGATACTTAAATAATGAAACTCTCCACTTACAGAGGGGCTCCTGTTACTAATGAGCCAGCGAAACAACAGGTTGCATTTTTATAATATGGCCTCAGATACTGCAGTGTTCTCCTCCCCTTTTCACCTCACTTCCTCCAACTGAACTTAACAACAGATATTTTGAAAAAAAAGGTATTACACTTCTATGTTTACACAGGGCCGCACACAGTATTTTGGTTCATGTGCAGAACTCCTACACAGCAAAAAAAATTGTTACAGATGGCTCTAACAGCTCATCAGAAAATGTGCAGATCCATTAATCCAATAGTAGTGAGAAGAAATACCAGCAGGTTTTACGCAATGGCAGGACTATCAGCAGGACTGTACAAACAGTGGCTTGCGACAAATGGTAACTGGAACAAGCCAGTTTAAAAAGCTTAACATAATTTAATCTCTCAATTACTACATTTTAAGAATTATTACTTTATTGAACTATGAAGTAGTATTTTTATCTGTGGTTTCTCTTCTCCAAAGTATAAAAGCCTATTCGTGAACCATGCAGCTACAATGGTTGAAAGCAGCACTGCTTCCTCTTTCAAAGTGGAGCCAGCTGATCAGGAAGATAAAAGCAACTAAAAACAAAATAGTACTTCAAATTTTCAATGCCACATTTATTGAAGATATTAATATAACTGTGTGTGACCCCTCAGACTTTGCAGAGGAAAGGAATTGTGTTCAATTTTTTATTTTCTTTCTGAATTCCACTGATCTGGTACATAGTAACTCAGATGGGACGCCAGCTGCGGTGCCGACACCTGCACTTTAGGGGTGTCAATGCCCTCTCGTTCAGCAGTGACAGGGGCTGCAGCATCTCAACTCTACATTAGAGGCAGTGTCCAAGGTGGCTGACTGCCTGTAGCATCTCACAGACTCCTCTCTCCAACCTTCGTTTCACTACTCTTCCTGCATGTGAAACTCCTCTGCATGGCTTCTAAAAAGCTAAAGAGGTCCATGATATCTTTTATCACTACAATTTAGCTTTGGCCTGGCAGACATCCAACATTAATCACCATTGGTGGCATTAAAAGACTGTTCTCAGGGCTGTTGACTATTGCCCTGAGGAGATGCAGTGCTTTCTCTTCTCCCCGTGCTGTCAGAACCACAAACAAATCAATTCCATTCTTCCACAAAAAGCACCAATTCTGCATCTTTGCTTAAGAAAACTGCTAGCAAACTTCAAAGACACCAAAAAAGAATGCTGAATGCTTAAAAATAATCTATAATGAATATCAAGGCAAGAAAACAACGAGCAGTATCTAGAGAATACAGCATAAACTCCCAAAAGACATTAAAGCAAACTGCTTTAATCCAACATAGCTAGTTGTTTTCTATCTCATTACTCAACAACTACCTAGTTATTCACTATCCAATTCCTTTTCAGCTGCATTTCAATCAACAGCTTTCATTACCCCTACATTTTACATCAAGGCTTTTTATGATCACTGAAACCAACTCAATTTGTGAAATAAAGATTAGGGGGAATATGAACAGAAAATCACTCTTGTGTTGCAATTGCAATGCACTTCTGTATTTAACAAATTTCAACATCAGTTTGCATGTGTTATTCTCTCACATTAATATAACAAACTTCACCTCCAACATGTATTTCCTTCTTCTGTGACCTGTTAAGATTTTGTGGCACCTTGAGTCTTCACACTCCTGATTATGGAATATTCTATAACGCAGAGCATAACACTTGTCCACTTAAAGAAGGTTATATTTAATACTTGGTGATGATAACTCAATTCACTCCTACATGCTTAGAAAGGCTTCTAGGAAGGACTAGGAAAGACAGGCAGAATAGTAACAAAGATAAGAGTACAGAATGGAGAAAGCAAACAGATTGACAAGCTGTTATTATAAGAGAGTTTCAAAACTATGCCTTGCATCTTGTTAAGGCAATTGAGTGAACTGAAAAAGACTTTGCAGGAGAGAGCTCTAGTAAGCACTGAAAAAGAGACAAATAGTAGGGAATTCTGAAGAAGTCTGAATCGGAAGACGCAGCTTAACTCCCAGATGAACAGGGCAAGGACGTAAAGCTTCCCATGGCTTGAGAAACGTTCAAGAAGCAGATAGTTCCACTCCTCCATGTAGCTCACAGTAAGGAGCATGGCTGACCTACACTCTTACACAAATTTATGGGGGGAGAGCTGCTCCCAGCAGCCTACAGCAAATATCCTCTCAAACCACACACTCTGGTGCCTTACGCGGGATGAGGTGAATTGTGTACGTGCTTTGAATTTGTGAGCTCTGCCACTTCTCCAGCAAATACTTCACTCCCCGCCTCTCCTTTCAAGGAGATGCTTATATATTAGTGAATGCTATTACTGCCCTTGGAGTCTTTGATAAGGAAGTACTGCTGGGCTTGTTTAAAGACAGCAGTTGTAAACAGGAGATAAAGAAATGCTTAATTCATAGGGTCAAAATAAGTGAACAGAAGAACACTGCCAGCAGAAAACAGTGTTGGTCAAGACAGGCTACTGAAGAACTCTGGTAACTGTGAATAAAGAGTCATCTTTGCCTAGATTCAGCAACTGTTCAATGCAAATAGCCTATCTGGAAGTATAATGTAGAAGTTAATTTTTATTTTATATTTTTTGGAAACACGATTAGGTCTTTCATTATCTAACAATGTGCATGATGATGGACATCTTTGGAAGAAATGATCAACAAAATGCAGAAATAAGTTTGCTTGTTGTTGTTTCTTCTTATTGAAGCTGAGATTTTGGAAATATATTAGCCTGAAATCCTGTAAATCTAATTGTTTTGGGCTACTTCAGTCCTGTCTGAAATCCCCCCTAAAAGCACAATACATATTTTCGTAGCAGAAGTCCAACCTTTCCACTAGCAAAAGATAATGTTTCCTCCACTAATAACAGTGTAACATCTAAACTCTGAAAAAAACCCCAGCTCAACAGTGTTTCACTATCCACCTGAACCAGGGAGAAACTCGGGCAGACTTGACTAGCCCCTAACAAAGCACACGAAGTATCTCACAGAGCTTCCCCCAGGACAGAGAGCTCATTTGCATCATGAGTTGTCACTTAGTGTACGTGTGCACCACAGTTCCACCTTACAAACCTTTACTAACCTTCGTAAATCCTGCATAAAATTTGTGGATAGTACCATGACTCATTCTGTGGCTTTAAGATACAGTGCATGATTTTCAAAATTACCTACTGTCTTGCCCTTCTAGAAGTGCCATGCAGCGTGTACTTCAAACTTGCAAAAAATCCAATACTTTACAGCGCAAAGATGTCTCATAAAAACTATGACATCCAACTACAAATGGATTTCCAGACCCACAGGGAATATTTTGCTGCAGTGAAGTACAGAAGACATCATCCTGCACAACAGCAGTGCCACCATATTGGACCTTAAATGATTTAAAACAGAACAAAGGAGACACAGACCTCTGCTTTCTCTGTCTGGCAGAAGAGATAAGAGAAAATTATTACAACCTCTGTACTAAAATACCATCCCTAAAGTCTTAGTTTAACTCTGTTTTCAAGGTTTTTAAAAGCACTTAGTATTTTATCATTTAAAGCTCTACAGAATATACTACATTTGATTTATACCTTTGTATATTAAGGCTGCAAACACCAAGACATAGTGGCATGATTTTCTTTAGCGTGTCACACTTTCTAACTGAATGGTCTCCCAGAGACTAGCTGAACAACAATTAAATAAGATTCACACACAGGTAAAGAGTCAATGCTGGGTTAGTTAATGATGAGTTTCTACTTTTTGATTACAAAAAACACAGAAACTGGCATGTATGATTTCACAAATATATTTTAAACTGCATTTTTATCCTCTTGTTACTGTATTTGTCTGAAAAAGTGCATTACATAGCTGAGTATTCATTTCTTTTCTTAAGGGCTGTATTTATACCCACATAATTTTAAGACATTTCTATTGTGATTTAAAATACATTGCTCCTATATGGGTACTCATTAAAGAACTTCCTCATTTTTATGTGTATATTTTGAGTTCAATTCTGCTCATTAAACTTCCCAGATTTATCAGTAATGGCCCTTCTCAGCAGCGGACCAACTTAAAACAACTCTGTTCTCTGGCTCCCAAATTACTAAGACCACATTAGTTTAACGTGTCTAAAAACTATTTATGATACTGGAAGACAAAATACGTTTATAAAGAAGACTAAAGCACATTTTCATGAAGAACACTGCTCATCTAAAAAAAACACAACAGATAGGAGCAATAAAACTTTTGCATTAAAGAAAGCAGATGTTGCAGCTACAGTATGAACATTTCTATTCAAGACATTCTCTTTTGCCCTCCTACCTCTAAATACACATACTGCAGTTTTGCCACACATTTGGCATTCATAATTACAGAAAATCCATTGAATTTGACACAAATTTAATACCTGCTTCATGTATGCATAGCACATGGTCTCTGCCACTCGCTTTCCTTCATCATAGCAGGCTCTTGGACCTATTGGATTCACATGGCCCCAGTAATCTTCATTTTGAGGGTGAACTTCAGGATCTACAGGGTAGAAAAAACACATTAAATAATCTATCAAAAAGGTGACTATATATAGTGAATCTTTCAGTAGATGACTGGTGTTACACAGCTAAACAGCTTCTCTCTGAACTACGCATTTAAAAAATACTAAGTTTCAACACCATTCCTTAAAAATGTATTCACTAGAACCATGAAAATGACAGTTTCAGAAGATGTGAGACTTTGGTAAGATAACTGAATACAAGCAAGTAACAGCCATCATCTGCTTTCCCCTAAAAGTGTGTGCAAACAGACAGTTAAATTCAATTCTTCTCTGCAAAGACAGACTGCCTCAAGGGCACAAATAAGAGTCTTATATAATGTAATTCAGAGGAAATATTATACTTTATGATGGCAGTATTTTTTACCATATTTGGAAAAAAAAAAGTATCTTGAAGTATTATAAAATAGGACACAAGGAAAGAAAAATGGACAAAATGGAGAAGTACTGCATTTCTTGAAGGAGTAGAGCAACATAGCATAATGTACTTGCCATCTTTCTTCTGTTTTATCTTAAGCGTTTTTAGTAGCTATCACTGGGCACGTACGATCAGGTTATTCTTTGGTTTGGCAATCAGGATCCCTTGATTTGATCCAGTACAGAAGTCCTTGATTACAAAAAACACCAACGCAACCAAGAATCTCCTAGGAAACTCTGTGTGTATACGCTCTATACGCTTGAAACAGTACAATCACTTTGTTACATTTCCACACTTTGCCATCTGTGCTGCCCTGTCCTTCTTACAAGGTTTGAAGTTTGCATGCACTACTAATAAACTTCCAAGCGTTACAGACTAATTCTGAAACAACTCTGACAGTCAGTTGTTCTTAACCCTTCCAGTTTTTATGCTGCTGACAGACATGATTACAGATGAATTCCTGCCATATGAGAGCCACAGAGCAATGATAAATGCAGAGAGGTTTTACATGATTATGAAAGCCTGTAGCATGCTTAAAAGCCCCCCAGAAGGTGCTGTGATTCAGAAGGCCACTTCAGTTTCTGTCTCTTTTCTGGCAGAAGCAGCCCTACGAAGCACTTGGAAACTCTATACAACACTGCTTTGAGAAGTCCTGGGGAAACAGCTAACAGGTATTTTCTGACTTTACTTTCTGTCCTTTATTTTTCAGCAAAACGACTGCGTCTGTTCAGTCAGAGCATGATGTGAGTAGACTCTCTCCACTGGCTTTACTGACACTACGTAGGCTGATAATGAGAGTTTCAGGTTTTCCATTTCAGCAGGCAGATTGCAGCAGAGTAATGAGGCTCCAAAACTTGGGGGTTCTTGCCTGCTGGTCCCCTGATCCAGAAGGGAGTTTATTCAATTACAGAAGAGTCCTTGTGGCTACCATTTTTCTCCATGGAGCCTGACCATGGATAATCAAAGGCAAGGGATACTCAAGCTGCTTATTTGGTTGCCCAGTCATCTTAGTGGATCCCCTGCTTGGGTATTTGCTTTGAATCTTCTTGACTGAAGTGATTCCACCAGAAATGTACTCCTTCAGGTATTTTTTTGTCCTTCCTCACTATTTCCTCATAAAGCTTTGCATTTTGTTACGGAGATGAGTATTTTTTGTTTGCTTGTTTGTTTTTTAAAACTTAGACTCTCACAACTACCAATGGTGAGCAGGTGACTGTGCCCGCATACCTCCATTAATCTTGCAACACTGCTATTATCAACGAGGCAAGAGCTCACAACAAGCAGGAAGTCTCTCTAGTAGGCACACGGTCTGTCACACACCCCAAGGAAGTACTAAGGATTCTTGTTGCATCCAGCTAGCAGTTCTATCAGTCACTCTCTCACTACTACACTTCTTACTAACAGCAAAAGGAAGGAGGAGAGATATGGCACCACTGCTCAGTATTATGTTTTAAGAAACACCGCAATGGCACGCATACACAATCACTATTTTCTTAGCTTGGAGGTTATGTCCTTGTCTCTTGCACTGTGCTGCACACACTAAGGCGACTGCTAAATCATAACAATACAATTCATAAGTCATTGAGAGGAGAAAAACAGATTTGTTATTGAAATTATCGTTCTTCACAGGTTTTCATTACGGCATCTGGACTTTAATCAGAGTTCAACATGCAAAATTCCCCCACAAGCTCTTCTGAAAAAGAGCCATAAACTAAGACATAAGGAAGTTACAGGCAAAGGCTAAGCCTCCTTCCACCTCTGTGAATAGAGATTTAAAGCAAGTACCAATGCCCACGTTTTAAGCTGTAAAAAGTACATCTGATAAAGAAATTAAGTTAAGACAGTGATGAAAATCTATCAATCATCCAACAAAAGGTTTGTAAATACCCTTTTACACAGTGCTTTGGTTTCGGCTGCTGCTGGCAACAAAAACGCCGCGCGGCCGCCCCTCCCCCTGCCGGCGTGCAGAGGAGAATGAAAAGAAAAAGGCAGAAACTGGTGGGTCGGGATAAGGGCAGTTTAACAGAACAGCAAACAGAGGGAACAGGAACAACAACGATACAAATAAGGAGAAAACACGACAAAACAGACCGCAGAACAGACCCGGCCTCCCGGACAGGACCGGCGTCATGCGCTCCCGAGCCGCGAGCGAGTCCCTGCCATGCTGCCACCCCCCCACTGGAACCCAGCCTGACGGCACAGGGTATGGAATACCGGGC